CCAGGGCTGGAGCCCCCAGGACAAGAAAGACAGGGAGCTGTTGCAGAGGGTCCAGAGGAGCCACAAAGATGATCAGGGGGCTGGAGCACCTCCCCTATGAAGACAGGCTGAGGGAGCTGGGCTTGTTCAGCTTGGAGAAAAGAAGGCTGCGGGATGACCTCATTGCAGCCTTTCAGTACCTAAAGGGAGCCTGCAAACAGGAGGGGAGTCAACTCTCGGAAAGGGCAGATAACAGCAGGACAAGGGGAAATGGTTTGAAGTTGAGGGAGGGAAGGTTTAGGTCAGATGTCAGGGGGAAGTTCTTTGCTATGTAAGTAGTGAGGTGTTGGAACAGCTGCCCAGAGAGGCTGTGGATGCCCCATCCCTGGAGATGTTCAAGGCCAGGTTGGATGGGGCCCTGGGCAGCCTGGGCTGGTATTAAATGGGGAGGTTGGTGGCCCTGCATGTGGCAAGGGGTCAGAGATTCATGATCCTTGAGGTCCCTTCCAACCTGGCCATTCTGTGATTCTGTAAAGCAGAATGAACATCCACTCTCAGTCCACACTAACAAACTTTGGGAGAAAGCTTTCATTCAAGCATCATAGTTTTAGATAGACAGTAATTCAAAGAGCATTATGAGACTTGGTGAAGAAATCTCAATGCCTTTCAACAGAAGTTCATCATCAGATGTTACCCTTTCTATCCAAAGCCACCACTAATTTCCTCCTATCTCAGCTACTCATCCATCACGTGGCAGTAATGACACAATGAGGAAAACAGAACTGCTTATACAAACGTCTGCTGATTTCACATAGTTCTCTAAACTCATCACAAGTTATTTCCATGCACCTTCAACTATTCAATGAAACAACAAGCGAAGCCAAACATGACAGTCTTGATAAAGGAAGTAAATGGCACTGGAAATTTTCATATCTAAACTTGAGATAATAATTTGAAATAATTCATTGTAAGTTTCCCAGACTGTTGTCGTCTATAAGCAACACTGTCATTTCCTCTTTCCAAACATCTCAGCACCCATTTGGGTATCCTCTGAAGCTATTTTTGAATTTGAGATTATAGTTACCCTTTGTAAGCTCTGCTATCCATCAAGCTACTTGGAGATTTTAAAAAACAGGAAAATTACACACTTCATGCTGAATTTACAGCAATGCCAGTAGGGTTTCAGTGATCAGAACCCATTTCAAGATCCTAGAACTGAACACATGGCAATTGCTGGCCTTTTGCTGGAGGAATAACAATGCAACAGGATAGCTCAACTTCTTTTTCTGTGCTCTTTATGACTGCTAAAACGTTTGAAAAGGAACATTACAGAAGCTGCTTTACAAATTAGTGTATTTCTGAAGAAAACAAATAGGCTTACAGAATTCTCATCAGCTCTTTATCAGCTAAACTGGATGTTACAGAGATAAAAATCAACCAATGCAGTATCTTTAATCTACTATTTAGTAAACCAAATTTTTTCTCCAAGGCTAAAAGCAAGCCTGACTGCATTTTGTAGTCTATCAGATGTGCACAGTGTGTGCGTGCTTTCTGTTTGTGTTTTAATTTCATAGCATTCTTTAAGCCAGAAGACAATGTTTAATAACCTTGCTATCCATAGAGACATAACTGACAAACAGTGTGCAGACCCTGTGTAAACAGTTTCATGTGTTTTGACTTTTCTAGCAAAGGCATTAATGCAAAATTTTATTTCATTTAACAGCAACATAAGAAGAGTTAACTTTTCTGCAAAACAGGTAATCAAGTTTCTGCAGTTTAATTCAAGTGAAAGATATGAAGGTCACCCTGCAGGGCAGAATTTATCCTGTCTCAGGTCTGCATGGTGTCAGCTTAGGTCTGAATTAAGTGATGAGATACATTTGGCTGGCTCTGCATACAAGTTGGTGTTTGCTCATTAAGCTCCAAGAAGCTATTTGAGACACTTTGACTGGTGGTTCCTTCTTCTGCCTGTCTTTCACCTTCTGCCTTTACATTTTCTGTACCTACAGATTTAATAATATGTTTGGAAATGTTCACGTTACTGCATAACCGGATTATCTATGATTCTGTATACCAACCACCGTTTGTGGTAGAGCATTATGTACATTCATCACGCACATTCATCACGCATTCTTCACCAAATAACTACTGCTATTCTCAGGAGAGGAAAAAAGCTTATATACACATACATGCACAAAGTTTTCTGTTATCTGGGTAGTAAGAGGATAAAGAGGGGACGACAAAACTTCAGCCAAACAACACCACACAAGTCAGACTGCGTATGTCACTTTCCACCTCAAAAGAACTTTTTCCCAGTGAAAAGGATTATTTACTGAGTCAGTTCGGCCCAACCCTGTTTTTTTCTCTAGGAAGATAGTGCAGTCACAGTTCACTGCTGGGCGTTATAAAGATTAAAGCAGGAGTTAAGTACTATGAACTTCTCACTTTTGCCCCGGGATGATTTGTGCTGAATCAAACCACCAACCAGCACAGGTTTCCAATAAATCCACTTTTAATCCTTAGCCCCTAAAGAAAAGAATTCTAAGATTCTAAAACACCAAAACTCAGATGGCTTTCACCCATCAGAAATTTCATTATTTTCAACTCTTGCCATACTATTCCTATTCAAAATCTCCCCAGTTTAAATTGCAAACATTAGAAATCTCCACTTCTTCCCCGAAAAACTTCACTCCATGCTCCTACCAGAACTCGAGAGTGATGAAAAGCCTACAGGCAAGCTCAGCAACCTCCAGGCTGAGGATCTCCAACAATTCCTCTGACACCCTCAAGCCTGAAGGCGTGAATCTGCTCTTTGTTTTGCCTCTCCATGTCCAACATTTTATTAATGGTCTTTGCAATCCAGATAGCGATTTTAGCCTGCACACACTCACTCCATGAAATTATGAGTTGATTACTTCAAGGATCACTTTGTGATCCTTGAAGCCATCTTTCAACAAAATTTGCTGTATTTCAGTCTCTCCAGGAATCTGAAATTATTATTGTGAGGCATCAACCAAAGATTCTGAAGTCCAGTGTGAAAAACAAACAGACAAAAACAAATACAAAAACAAATACGAGGCAAGGGACTTAGTAAAAAGATTTTGAAACATCGGTGGAGGGGGAAAAAAAAAAAAAAAGCAATAAAAGAGTTACAACAAAAAAAATACCCTATGCACAAAAAACCTTAACAGAATGCAGGCCCCAGTGCCACGTCCCTGCCCTCTCCATGATGCCCTCCATGTCCTCAAACACTCACACAGCCGAGAGAAGCAGCTGATAATGGCTGAGTGATTTTCTATTTAGTTTCTGAAACAACTTCCAACTTTGCCCTCCGGGATGTAATTCAGACTACAGGATAAGTGCCTGTTGAATAAAAGGAAATGAAAACCATCTCCCTCAAACCTTCCAGGCGGCTCTTTGCCCTCCCCAGTCACACGACAACCCACCCAGCTACCAAGCTTCCCCTTGCTCTTTCTTTGCTCACTTAAGTCTGTCTTTCACTCTGCTCAGTGCCTTATCTCTGTGGCTGCATGGGCCATATTTGCTCAGTTCTGTGTTCACGTTGCAGGACATTGCGAAGTGACTCAGTTTTGTGTTCACACATTGCGAAGTGACTGAAGAATCTCCCCCTGCTCACAAGCAAAGCCCTCTGAACTTCAGCTTTTTTACTTCACTTTTGGGTCTTCGATAAGTGCTGCCAATTAACCTCACAAAGTGCTGGTATTCTCTGACAAAGCATCCGCATGCTTGCTTAGAAAGCTTTTGTCATTCAGTACAAAGGAAAATGTTGTTTCTGCCCTTATTCAGTTTGGCCTATTGGCCTACCTTTCCCAACCCTATCTTGTAACATAAGATAAAATATTTATTGAGCTTCCTTGAAAGCTTAATAAATCTGTTTCTCTACTAATGGAAAACTAGGTTGACTCCCGTATAGCTCCCACAGTATGGATTTCCGAAAAAAGTTCTGTCATTTTTGACAAATACAGCCTCTCTGCTTCGCTGTGTAATCCTACCATAGGCCCAGCAATCACAAAACTAATAGGCCCTTCACAGATTACATCTGAACCTGAATTACTTTTCTATAACCTATGAACATTTTTCATAGTAAAGCAGTGATGTCCACTTCCAAAAAACCTGCCTGTCATTCGGTTTTTAAGTCTCCGTATCTTACAAACACAATTGTTTTTCCTACTGATACCTTAACATGCAGAGCGAGCAACGGAGCATTATTAATAAAGTTCCAGTTCATTGAAAAAAAAAACCCAGGTTCAGGCCTGAAGGTAAGGACCTGGCAGACTGATGGATTTCTCTAGTTCTTCTAGTGCAAATGATAATTTAGGAGTTGCAGCTATCCATATGGATCACAACAAAAGCTTAAGTGCCCTTGAGATAAAGAGAAAGATGAATGGTTAGGCAGGTGAGGGGAACTGGATGGATTAGCAGAGTGCTAAGAGGATATAAACAGCTCTCCCCCAAATCCTTTATTTTTCTCCCTACAGTCACAGATCTGTAGTTGTAAAACTTTACATTTTACCATACAAAAGGTACCGTGCCACGCACTATTAGCTCTTATTTAATTTCAACCAATCAGCCAGTGGCTCAAGTATTTTGTTTCTACACCCAAGCTTGATGAAAACGTGTCTGCTCTATTATCAAAGGAGTCTCATTTTCGTGCTATATATCTCATTGCTCTTAATACTTGGAAAAGATAACTTACCTTTCTCTATTGCTACCTGGTTGGGTAATTTTACTCAAATAGGCTTACTCATAGAATGGCTTAGGTTGAAAAGGACCACCACAATCATCTAGTTTAACCTCCCTGCCATGTGCAGGGTCACCAACCCTAGAGCCACATCCAGCCTGGCCTTGAATGCCTCCAGGAATGGGGCATCCACAACCTCCTTAGGCAACCTGTTCCAGTACATTGCTACCCTCTGAGTCAATTACTAAATTTTCTTAATCCCTGTAACAACCGAGGGCCGAGCGCAATGGGAAATGCTACAAAAGAAAGAAGTACTTACCTCTGTCCGAGGATCTAGGCTCACTGTAGAAGCTCCACAGAGCAGGAATTTTCAACGAGAGATCCCCTCGTGTTGGCAGTCAGCCCTCAAATGGGGTCTAGGAGAGGTGCAGCCAGGCTCCGCCCCTTGCAGGCACGCAGCTGAATTGCCTTGCCTTGTGCTCACAGGGCTGACCAGGACCTTTCCCCAGCTGTGCAATCAGTGATTCAGGCTGGAACTCAACAGATCCATACAATCCCAAAAAGAGGCAAAAGAGAGCTCCCTTTATTCAAACAAAGGGAGATTCAACTGGAGACATTTTCCCTCAATCCATCTGAAATCACAGCCTCTTTTTTATTCTTCCTGATGTGTTCTCCCTTCTCCTTTCATAACTGGCCGAAGAAGTTAGAGGTTACAGACTTCCCAATCCACCTAATATGCATTCCCCCTTGTATGTGACCTGTTAGGCTTACATGAGCACGGTAAGTCCAAAGTTCATAAGTTCAAGTTGTCTATAGACCTTTGTAACTAAAAGCTTATTTGGTGAAAATAGACCAAGTGGAAAGGAGTTGCAAGCTTCCTGCACAACTTGCAAGCAAGGGCATCATGTTTGCAAGCTTCTGCGTAAATGATTTTTATTTCCAAGGACATCTCATTCAGGAGCTTATTTTACTTCATATTTCAAGGTAAGTTTCAAATTAAGATCAAATAATTTTCAAATGCTAAGAATAAAATAAATTCTCCTGAAAGAGCTCCTCTTACAATGAAATAATTTAAGAAACACCCAAAATGGGAAGACTGCATAGTTCCAAAATCTTGAGGAACAAAGTATTTCATAAGTCAGGCACTCATTCTGGAAAGATCTTAATTCATCAAATGCTCTTATTAAAGTAGATTCATTCCTTCTCCAACACAAGACCAGTATCTCTGCAGCTGCTACGTGGTGTTTACTTTCTTTCTGAACAGGTTTGGGAAATGGCTTCCATTAAGTCACCCAGTATTGTTGTGGAGTAAAAGAAAACGCAGAATCTGAGGCTACAGTTCCCAGCACAAGTTGGGAGGCTGCACAATCTTGCATTCAAGTCTTGGCCGCTACCAATATTCAAAATAAACCGTACTAAATTTTCCCATTTCTAAAAGCAAGTAATGATTTGCTTTGCGACTCCATCTCTGCTGGAATCTAATGCAACTCTCACAACCATTTTATCAATTTCAACAATTCAGTTTCAAAACAAAAAGTTTTAGCCGATTTTTAGCAGCACACAAGTGCACAGACTATCACATCCATAATCATAATTATTCTTTCATTTCTTGTCACCCAAGAGGAGGCACATTTGAAACAGCACCAACAGACCCTAAGGAGTTTGAATTACTTTATTTTAATTGTACTGACTGCGTAAATCAATAGCATTTCAATTCTTCAGAAGTGTTCACTCTATCATTTTGATATTAGAAATAGACTAGCTACATTATTGATCCGAGTTACATAAGCATATGTGGATGTAACATTTACTTGGATGAATAAATTTTTAAGTTCAAAATGAATTCCTTTTTTTCCTCCCTACTTTTTTCAAACTGGAATTCAACATCTACAAAAACCCACTCACTAATTTATGGGAGATATTGAATATATATTTCAACACTCTAACTTTACACAGAGGGGATCTTTTATTATTGTCAAGGCCATAAAAGATGAGCAGATTCAATATTTTATATTCCCATCTATTACTTGGCATGCAGAGGATTCTGAATCACAGTGGTGAAAAAGCATAATATTTCTCCTACCCAAGTCCCACCATTGACTTACTGTCTATCCACATGCCACAAAGCCATACAAACATAACTGATGTTGTTCAAGCACCAGACATTGAACATTACATTACCAGGATACATTCAGGAGCTGGCAGCCTCAGGATGGTCTGTCAGGCAGCTGAAGGTAAAAAGCACAATCATGGCTCTTTTTAGTACCCAATCTAAAATATCTATACCTTCACGCTGCCAGAATGTATCCCTATACAGCATCCAGCAAGCATTTGCTTGAGCAAAACTCACCACCACCAGGAATTAAGTCTTACCATCTTTGGTAAGTACAAAACTCTGGTGGTCAAACAGTGGCTTACAAACTGTTGAAACCAATTCTTAAAACTCAAATTGAAACACAGAAGAACATTCACAGAGCATTGTGTTACCAGGACAAGGTCTTGCTCAGACCCTTCGCACTGCACCACGCAAAGCAGTTTGTTTTTTCAATCCAGCCATCTTCTATTCAGGTGTGTCCACACAAAGTTATAAAATAAATCAACTTTATCAGTTTCTAGCACCTGGTAAGTCGTCTTTATCTCAGAATTCTGGAGGGATGTATAATATTCAGCATGAACATTATGGTTTCACTCCAACATCAAAGACTTCAGCAATGTGGAACTAGTAAAACGGAGCAGAAATCTATAATCCATGAGAAAACTTTGTTACTTACTGAAGAATGTTAACGTGTGAATATTTTTTTACCTTAAGCCAAGAATCCTGTACTGAAGGCACATTCCTCTCCTTAAATTCAGGCAAAAAAATGCCTGTGCCCAAACACTGCTGAAAGGGTTGCCTTTTTTTTTTTTTTAAAAAAAAAAAAGCTCTAGAGAGACAAGACATCAGGGATAATTTGGATCCACCATTAACCCAGTGTGTGGCCTGGGCCGATTTCAAATGAAAACTGAGATGGGCTGGAAAAAGCTGTACCTGTAATTGCAGTGATACACAAAAGGTTCTATTAACTACACAAATGAGGCACAGAGGTTTAGGATGTCTTTCAGGAAAGAGGATTATTTTCTCTATGCCCAGCACAAAGAAGTGCTTACCTAGGTGGTAAACATCAGGCTTCAACAGAATGCAAATAAATAAATTAATAAAGCAATTAGCAGACAGAGATAGAAACAAGTTCGAAGTGTGGAGCTTTGTGGCTGAAAATCTTTTTTTTTTTCCTTTTTGGCCATTTACTGCAATTACTCCAACATACAGTATCTTCTTTCCAATCAGTAGCAACACTGTGCACTGACTTCCAAGCTCTTATTATCATTTAATTCTGATTAACAGAAGACTTTACTGATGTTTATTGTTTTATTTGATTTTATTGTAAATCAAAACTCAGGCAAGCAGCTAAACAGAAACAAAGATAATTCATATCAGCATATCTTTGGAGATGCCTACAATAATTGATGGCTTCTGTTTTATTTCCCTAGGTGTCAAACAACACCTACTCCCACCTGAAAGTAATTATCATTCCTCACCATTAACGCAGCTAGGCTGATTAGCATATACAGCACCCTTTCTGGCTGGTGATTCACAGGGAAACACAGATGTTGCCTTTAGAGGGAATACATTTCACCTACCTCTTCAGTTCAAGAGATGGGCTTTCCTGTGGCTAAAGAAGACAGTTGTAAATGGCTGCTGCCAGAATAAAGATTCAAGGGACAAACTTATGAACTCCTAGAGCTTAAAAGCTTTGTAATACTTCCCTACCCAGTATAGCTTTTTAAAAATGTGTCTCCAAGCTTTCCAAGCAACTTCAACTCAAGAGCTGCATACAGAAGCTTTGGCAAAGTAGTTTGTTAGTGCTGCTCGTTATTCACTGCGTGATATATACATATATTTTCTGACGTTTGACTTTTTGAAAATGTATTGAAAATGTTTCAAAGAGTATTAATAGCCATGCTCACATTACTGGGGTTTGATATGGTGGCTGCTATGCATTTCAAACTACTTTCTAAGCTCAGTCTTCAACATTGAGAATTCTCAGCCGCTCTCAAACTTGAGGTACCCTGCAAAGTACAGTTGCAACCAACCCAACCAGAATATGTTGAATTTTCTCAAAGAAAGATGGTTTGGTTTTCTTTCTTTTCCGTCTTATTTTAGGTAAAATGTATTATGAAACTTTCTGGACACAGAAGTATCAAAAATGCACTCTGCAACACTCATCAATGAAAGAAGATAAGAAGTGATTGAAATCAGAGCATCATATGCAAATCTAAGTTGTTGTAGGGTTTTTTTTCAGCCAAAATAACATAATTTTAAAAACAAATTGTGAACTTTTTCTTAAAGACTTGACTTCCCATCTCAAAAATGTGGTTTTCTATTGAAAATATCCTCACACCCACTCAAATAGCTCAACATTGAAAATTTGATATCAAACTTTATTTTTCTTTGTTTCGCTCATGTTCAGAACACGTGGCTTGTTGTATGTTGCATGAGCCAAAGAAAAGATGGTGATGCTTACAAGTAAGACAACTCTTAGATCAGGTTTTACAGTAAACTGCTTTGTATTGTAGATAAAATGGGCCTAAACAGATCCCAGAGTGCTTAATTACTCTTATCAAATATGTATGCATTGGATTTGCTGCACTCGGATTAGGCATGCAGTCTATCTTGAACAATTTTTTTCTTTCACCCTCTTCTGTTTTCTCCTTGGGAGGTAATTGTACTATAGACCATGAATAGCCTACAAAAACCTTTATGTAGAAAGCTCTCTGAAGCACTAAATATGCTGCTTGCTTAGTCATGATATTATGCAGCTCTGTTTGATCTAATTGGTATATACAGCAAAAAGCACAGGAAACCGCTGAACAGGTTTTGACTTAGCACATTCTTTCTTTTGATATCCAGAAACAGATCTTCACATTTACCCTTCTATATCCAAGGTTTTAATTGCATCATACTACCCCACACATTGCACTACCCCAAAAACTGTATGTACCTTTAACGGAACTGCAGAGTGCCAAGACGATCTGCACTACTGAACAGTATGGGAAGTGTTAGAAATATGAAATAAATCCTCATAAAAATCACCTTTTGCTGCTAAAACTGAAGTTTTCTTCAATTCCGTTAGTTTAAAAACAGATTCATACTGTGCCTTGTGCTACTCAAAAGCATGTTGTAAATGACCCCGTTCAAACAACCTAAGTTTAATTTCTACCAATGTGTTCAGAAGGATGTTTCCACTCTGCTTATCCGCTGCACTGCAAGTATAGAAATGGAAAAAACAACTTTCATAGCTGCATTAAGCCAAATTATTGAAAAGAAAAAAAGCTCTTAGAAACACTAATTCACTTGGTGTCCCAAGTGTCAAAGACCAGTGACTTTCTCTTTAAAGCTCATTCATGTCAAGACAGAAGATGCTTCTCTATCCAACAGTGGTAAGAATTTGTCTGCAGTCTGCATTTATTGTAGACAAAACAGACAACAACAACAACAAAAAAGATGCATACAAACTGAAAAAGTCCAAAGAAAAGCATCAAGAGCCATCAGGTGTCCTAAAAATACAGCCTAAGTGAACTGAATTCATTTTACATAGGCTGTAGTGCAGAAGGCTGGATTTCAGCACTGGGAAAGGGCTGCAAATCTGACAAAATGAACAGATGATACTGAAGATAATCTCCTATATCCACAAAAAAGAACTGACATCATTAGCCTTTTTCATTTTCTCAGGC